CATTCACCTATTTACCCTCATTAGTCTGTGATTTCACAGTCTCAATTGACAATAGTAATGATTCCACTGAAGATCTAAATATTTTCTTTCCTTTCACTTTGCTTGTGAAAATCTAGAAATAAATATTGTATGATCATCTAATCTAATTAAGCATACTTCGCTTGTAGTGTTCTGCTCATACTGAAAAAAAGAGAGAGAATTTCCATGAATTTTTTGTATTCTGATTGCTTTTCTCTTACTCCATGTTATTTTAGGCCAAAATGCATTCCCAAATATCGAGATATATTTCTTTCACCGTTCTTGCTATTCTTCCATGTTTCTCACAATTGTCTTCAAAATTAGTTTTCATTAACCTATTTCAATGATGTGTAAAGCCTAAGTCTATGTTATTTCAAAGATAATTTTGTTGGTGAAGACTGAAGGAATGATAATACAGCTCCTGATTAAATCTGAGCAATGTAGACAGATGATCTAAGCCCCAAATCACCCTGCTTGCCAATATTAATTATAAAATCTCCAACTCCAAATAAGCCCATTTTAATTATTCATTTTCATGTATGGTTGCAACAAAATGAAAAGATACAAACATAATAAAAAATTCCTCATTATTTCTTCAGTGTACCATACTTGCTCCTTTTGCTCTGTTTAGAGTAGTTTGTCTTCATTTACATTTATTAGAATCCCATCCTTCAAAGCCTTTTCTAAATTTTCATTTTTAAGGTTCTTACTATAATTAGTTAATTCAAGAAAGTTCAGTATGTAACTCTTTTTTTTAAATTTTATTTATTTTAAAGATGCTGTACAGAGGGGTTTGTTACCCCTCGTTTTTCTCCTATTATCCCTTCCCTCCCTCCTCTCCCTTCCTCACTCCTCCCTACCCCCCAAGTTGTAAAGTTCATTTCCACCATAGTGTCTTGTATCACTGTTGCGATGGGTCATCCTGTGTCCTTGTTTCCGCATTTTGTTATTACCCTTCCCCTCCCCAAATTAGATAAATATACATACAAGATGCACAGTACCAAAATCAAGTACAATGACAACAGCCTGTAATTCTTGTCTCATTGTTTCCTTTAAGTCTGTATGCTAGACTTATCTCCCTGGACAGATTGTACATGATATCAGAAGGCAGATACCATGTCTCATTCCATTGCTTTTCTTGTATAATCCTGAAGTGATTTTGAAAAATTTTGTATTTTCTTACAAATTTTTAGATTTTAGAAGAATAACTGTGAGATAATTCTGAAATATTACAAATGTTGACATAAAAGATAGAGAAAAAGTAAAACAAGTTGGGTATTGTGGTACATGTCTGTGATCTCAGCTGCTTAGGAAGGTGAGACAAGAAGACCACAAGTTTGAAGCCAGCCTTAGCAACTTAGATCCTACATAATAAAATAAAAAGAGGGATGTAGCTCAGTAGCAGAACACTTGCCTAGCACGGGGAAAACTCTTAGTTTACTCCTCTACACCACCAAAACAAACAAGAAATCATATCACTCTTTCACATGTATCTAAAGAGGTGTAAACATCATTGAAACAACAACTGCCATCTATCTGGGGGGAAAAACACATTTTAGTGCTTAGCTGCTGAAAATATCACATCATTCCTTTTTCTCCTTGAAATCATATTTTTAGTTAATATCCTTCACAGAATTTTATCCTTATGTAAGCTGTTTCATACTTGAAATTATTTTTCACATCAAATATATATATATATATAAATTAAAATCATTTATCTCTTGCCCATGTAATTGTAACCCCTCTGTACAGTATTTTCACAATAAAAAAAAATTTATCTAAATATCTCTGAGCAAAAGCTTTAAGTGGTAAAATATTCCTTCCAGATTGACTTTTGGCCTATGAAGCCCAAGTTGGTATTGAACTTGCTGTGTACTCCAGGCTAGCCTCTACTTTCCTAATCTGAGGTTATAGTTGTGTCAGCATGCCCAACAAGACTGATTTCTTGCACAATTATTGTTGATATATAGCTTATCAAAACCACCTGGCTTCCTATACATTTTATAAATACTTGCCAAACATCAAGAATACAATTTTATTAGAACTGTGTGCTTTTATGAGATACATAGGACTATTCATTTACCCATATGTACATATTGCTTATTATTAAATATATGCCAAGTTCATTATCAATTCTGTTTCTGTTTTACATTTTCATGGGTTTAAATACTATGAAAGTTAGTTCATGCAAATTACACTTGGGGCTATATAATTATAGGACTATCAATTCTATGAATTTCTTCTAAGTAATATGCCAACAATTATATAATGATTTATTACAAAAATATTTTTTATTTCTTGTTGACTGTTAAGTCTTCAGTATTATTGAAAGCAAAGAATTAGAAGCACCTTTGAAAAAAATTTGTTAAAACAGTCATTAGAACTAATTTGCTTTCTCAATTTCTGGGAGTAATACCAAGAATCTTTTACCAAAATGTATCAAATAACTATTAATTAAACCTGTTAGAGTTTAACTTAATATACTCAGCAACTGTGGAGAAAATAAAAATATTAATTTTCTTATATCTGTCAACACAGTAACTTTTTTGAAAAAATGATTTTATTATATAGCGTATACATTAAATATGTTTCCATCCACTGTTCAAAGCTACAAATTTAATCAGTTCAATTCTTGGAAAATATTTGCCAGGTAACCTACTTGGCAAAGCTAATTTTTATTGCCAAAGCAACTGGCCAGCTGGATTGTGGCTTAGTGGGTAGAGTGCCTGTCCTAAGCATATGGCACTGAACTCAAATTCTAGTACTACTTCCCCCCCTCCAAAAAAAAACTCAGCCAAATAAGATTTAAAGTATTTCCCCCAGAAAATACCTTACTTTCTTTACACAAACAAAATAATGTTCTGAATAACCTTCTCATTTCTGAATTCTCTCCTTAAGGTGAGGCTAGGACCCTATCTTGAGTCTGTTTCACTGATAACATGGAATCCTGCCCCCAGTTTTCATTGCTTTGCTCTCAGAGGATTCTCTCTTAGAAATGATACATCCTTTAATGATAGTTGGGAGATGAAAAGCACAAGGACATTACATGAAATTTGTTACCTATCCTGCTGCCCCATACTGTAATATATAAGAGCAAATATCCTGGTATGTACAAGATGTGTGAGAAAGAGCAATGTGTGGGTTTTGTGCCTCAAAGAAGTCCTCTTTAACCATTGTTTTAAACTATTGTTTGATGACTTAGAGGTTCTTATGTTTGAGAAGATACACCATAATAAAAACGGATAAATGATACATCTTTTTGTGAAGTGGGGGAAAGCTGGTTATGAATAGGAAGAGAGAACTTATCTTGATACCTCTTTCAAAGGTTATTTTCAAACCTAGTTAATTTGAAAGGTAGATGAATTTTTAGAATCATTGCAGGCAGACAATTTAAAAGGCACTAGTAGTATACACCTATAACACTGGCTACTCAGGAAATCAGATCTGAGGCTCATGGTTCAAAACCAGCCCACTCAAGAAAATCCATAAGACTCTTATCTCCAATAAAACCACCAATATACTGAAAGGGGGCCAACTCTGACCTGTAATCACAGCTACTCAGGAGACTGAGATCTGAGGATGGTGGTTCGAAGCCAGTCCTGAGGAGGAATGTCCTGTAAAACTCTTTTTTTTTTTTTTTCTGTGAAACTCTTTATCTCCAGTTAACTACCAGAAAACCAGAAGTGGCTCAGTGGTTCAAAGTGGTAGAATGTTAGTTTTGAATGAAAAGGCTCAGGGACAGCACCCAGGGCCTGAATTCAAGTCTAAGAACACCCCCCTCCCCACATACACACAAAGTAATAATGTGAGCCTACTTGGCCTCTGGGAAATACTCTACAATAGTTTGTGTGTACCAGTGTAAAGATAGCCTTCTAATACTTCCTTCTTATTGCATATAATAATATTCTGAGATAGAGTTGGTACTAACAAGTTAGACTTTATTTTTTCATTTGCAACATGGGGATTAACTGAGGGCCTTATGAATGTTAGAAAGTGCTCTATCATTTAGCTGCAAACCCAGCTTCAGAATTGGTACTAACACACAGTCAATAACACAGAGAGGCAAAAGCTATTGAGTCTGAAAAATACTAAATTTGGTAAAAGTCTGTAAGCAGAAATACTTATTTTTATTGATGTATTTTTTATATTAAAAAATTTTAAGTTGTGTTAAGGGTCTCTGTAGCTCACGCCTTGAGCTGAAGAGCTGAAGGTAAGAGACCAGGTCCATAGTTCAAGCCCCACACCACCACCAACAAACAAAGTTACTTGTCTTATCAAATAGCCTAAACATTTCTGGTTGATGTCTTTTCGAACACATGAAATTCACAAAGCAATAACAAAATTCCTTACATACCAACTTGAACTAATTATAATTGTCATTCTTATATTGATGAAATTTCCTTTCAATAATCTTCACATTTTCTAATTCTGTTTTCTGTGTTATATGTTACTACATACTATATTAAACCTATTATCATAAATGTTTCAAGTAATAAAGCTATAAGAAAACTGTTCATTTGGGTAAGAGTTATGGAAATTAAGTTGTAGCAGTGTGTGGGTGGGTAGGGGGGCCTGGGTTCTGTCCCAGTTTTTGTACTTAAGGATAGCCCTCTACCACTTGAGCCACACTTCCACTTTCTCCTTTCCAGGTTCATTGGAGATAAGAATCTCATGAACTTTACTACCCAGGCTGGCTTCCAACTACAATCATCAGATCTCAGCTTCCTGGGTAGCTAGGATTATAGGCATGAGCCACCGACACCCAGCAAGTTATATTTTTGAAATCATATTGAACTGCTAATTATTGTAAAGTAATTAGTAATTAGCGTAAAATGATTAATAATGCTAGTAGATTATTATTGGTAGAGGATGTATATTTAGCAGGCAAAATGAATCTTGAGAGTTGGTTAACTTAAAAATTATGAACTAATGTAAAATATGACTTTTGCCAGAGTTGAATGTTGGCTTTTTGTTGTTAGCAGAAAATGCTCCCAAGATGGGAATGCCGCCAGAGCAGTGCAAGGACCTACAGTTAGCTGCTGAAGTCCCACTGTCCAAGGAACCTCTGCCACTCAAGAAGAAGGCCTGGAAGTCAACAGAGGTGGGCATTGCCCAGGTTTCCTTCAGCTGTGTAGCAAGTTACCAAGAATGTTGTGCTTTAAGGCAGGACAAGTATGTTATCTGACAGCCTGACCCTAGTCAGGTGAGAAGTCTGACCCTAGTCTCACTAGGCTAAAATTGGCATATCTGCTGGGCTGCCTTCCTTCCTTTCTGGAAGATAGCTTGTTTTCTTGCCTCTCTCAACTTTATGTGTTTGTTCTAAGTGAAGCTTTGCTTATCTTTCCACATTTCTTCTTGGTATTTTTTTGTTATACAGATTGAATTATCAAAGTTTTCTTTTATGATTTATGCACTTTTAAAAATCTTTAAGAAATTATTTCTTATGCTAATTTAACAAAAATCACATTTTCTAAGTATACATGCTCTAGAACTTTATTTGTATGTGTATAGGCTATATTCTTTGAATTGCCCATATTTGTCTACTCATTTACACTTTCTAAATAAAATAACTGTAAACTCACAGGCAGTTGTAAAAATACTACAGATTCCTGGGTATCATTTACTCAGGGAATGAATGAACAGGGGAAGCAATTTCAACAACCTCTTCCTTATTTTCTTCTACCACTGCACAAGCAGGCTTCTTTCAGGGAATCAGGACAATAGCACATCTCTCCCTGTTACACAAATGTATCAGTTTTCTGTTTCTTGGATTGTTTTACTTTTCTTCTCATTGTCATGTTCTACCCTTAAGTCCTCCTGTGGGAGGGAACTCCCAGAGCCAGTACCTGCTCTGTTTTTCTTCAATGTTCTCTGACCTTCTCAGACATATAGCTACATTTTTTCCCTTCTTTTTCCATATACCTATTTGTTCTTCTTTGTACTTTCAAATGCCCATTCAACATCTTTAATTCAGTCATGTCATTCTTAAATTCCTACTTTTTTATTGCTTTATATCTATTAGGTATCTTTAAAGAACTCTAAAATGACTGAGTTTCAATACTTTTTTTTTTTGGTTTATTTCATACTGTACGAGTGAATTCAGTTTTCTTTCTGTTTTGGAATATTGAATTGTTAGCTCATTTTGCAGGACTTGTTGTTGTGTCTACAGTCTAGTGTGCTTTTTACCCCTATCTGCGTAACAGGTTTTCACTTGCCTATTCCTGACTGCCAAGACTGTCTGTCCACATTAAGGACGTACTCTGGCAGCTTGAGGCGCTGTTCTTTTTCCTGGCTTCTGGTCCCCCAGACCAAGGGATACTGTGGTTTAGTTGCTAGAGAAGTTTGTGTCCTCTTACCTACCTCTGTGTAATACTTTTAGAAGCTACAGCCCCAAGCTGTGACTGACAAGTTAGTTCCACTTTCTTTATGAGCAGAGGATCCCAGTGATTGAGCATAACTTCAAGCACTGAGCCCATGTTTAGCATTTCAGTTTCCAAAGGACACTTTCAACCTGTATTTATCCCTCCAGAGCTAAGCTCCTGATTTTCTCTGCTTTTTTCTGGATCCAGAGCTCTAATGTTCCATAGCTTTAGCCATTAGTGTGTTTCTGTTCATACCATCATCTGTAAAGACGTTAATCTTGGTGTGGGGTATGACCATATCTTTTTCTTTACATGTTTGGTTATAAAGATACTTAAAGAATCATTTTGACTAGAAATTATGCCACTATAACTAATATGAAATTCTTGTTCACTTGTTTTTGTTTACTGTGTATTTTTCCCCTAGAAGGAAAGCTCCTTGATAGAAGAGACTTTTTGGTGTTACTCATTACTGAATCATTAGATGACACATTTTTGTAGGTGAGGAAGTAAATGACTAGCAGACACTATGTATTAACTTTTCTTTCCTGTGACATTGCTCATTTGTGGTACTCAGAGTGCTTTGTGTAATATTTCTTGCCATAATTATTATGGAGGAGGTTGGAATTCTTTCTTGACCTTCTGTCATCAGCCCCAAACTCCAACCCAATTAGTTATTTGACTCAGCTGCTTTTCTAGCAGCTCAGAAAGCCACATTAATGTTGAAATTTCACTGTTGTTTAATTGCATAATAGCTCACAGATTGAAAATAGATTATCTTAGAAGACATTAAGATAAAATGATTTTTAAATTTGACATGTGCCTATTTATTGTTGATAGCTTTTAAGTAGAAAATAGACTGGAATCTCCTGTGTGTTTGGGAGCCAGACATAAGCTATCTAGGATTTTATATCCATTTTAAAATTTTGATTATTGTTTTTTCACATTTTACAAAACCACTCTTACTGATTTATATCATTCCATATATTATGTCACAAAGAACATGGTGCCCTTTTCTCAAAAGAAGTTAAGAAGCTGGCTTTTCTTTTTCAAAGCATGCCTGACTTTATCATAGCGATAACCCACATCCTTTTGACAAACATCTCTCCTATCACTGCAGGAGCATCCGTTGTAATCCAATATGCCCTCTTCAGTAGTCTGCTACTGTAGCAGAAGACACCTAACAAGTTGAACAGTAAAGCAGATTGTGGTTGCAAGTGAATTGTACCTATATTAACATTTTCATGTTCCTAGTACAGAACAAGAAATAAATTTTGTTGTTGATTGCTTAGGCAGAATGAGAGTGCTTAAAGATATCTTTTAAAACTTTAAGTAGATACATCTTTATTCTCTCCACATATGGAAGAAAAATTACCTTAAAAGCAGTGAACAAAATTCAGAGTAGGATAGAGCTTTCAAAAGCAGAATAGTGCTTCCTAAGTGATACTTTCAAAACTAAGTAAAGCCTCTACATCTCAACAGGCATGTCTGTTTTCTCTTTCATACTGTCCAGAATATTTATTAATTTGCTAATAAGGTTATTTATAGCTTTTCACCACCTCAAAAGCCCTCTTTTTCTTGCTAGAGGAGATTGAACATTGCGATTGTAAATTTTTTTTTTGTCTCAGTTGTTCCCATGGCAACAAATAGGGATGCTGTGGAGTGGCTCCCACAAAATTATAGTTGACCAAAATCTTCGGTCTAGTTGTGAGTTACTGAATGATAGTGTAGATGACGAATGTTTATCTTCTACCACTTGCACTTGCTGGATTTTCTTACATGAAGAATATACAAATTGTATCTTCTGGCTTATTTCCATGCCATGTATTATATTTACAAAAATTAGACCTCATCAAAGTTGTTAGAGAAATGGAAATTAAGCTTTCCTCCAATTATACTTATTTATCATTCTGGTTTTGTTTTGTTTTGTTTTATTTTTGCTGGGTCGTTGCTTCATGTGTGAAAGTACTTTTTGTTTTCGTGTTTGTGCTTTTACTATTTCTTTTTTAATTAAAAAATTCTTAGTACTAAAATCCAAATAGTGTAAAAGGTCAAAGAATGAAGAAAAAAATGTTTTCTTGTTTCATTGCTCTTGTCCTCTCCCAAAAGCACCTGCTACTAGCATTTTGTTTGTTTGTTTGTTTGTTTTGGTCAGTTGTGGGGCCTGAACTCTGGGCCTGGGCGCTGTCCCTCAGTTCTTCAGCTCAAGGCTAGCGCTCTGCCACTTCCAGCTTTTTCTGATTATGTGGTGCTGAGGAATCAAACCCAGGGCCTCATGCATGCAAAGCAAGCACTCTACCACTGAGCCACCTTCCCAGCTCCTACTAGCCTTTTTTAAAATGAGTTTTGGGGAAAACTTTTTTTTTTTGGGTCCGGTTGTGGGGCCTGAACTCTGGGCCTGGGCACTGTCCCTCAGCTCTTCCGCTCAAGGCTAGGACTCTACCACTTGAGCCACAGCACCACTTCCGGCTTTTTTCTTTTTGCTTATATGGCGCTGAGGAATCGAACCCAGGGCCTCATGCATGCAAGGCAAGCATTCTACCACTGAGCCACCTTCCCAGCCCCTTGGGGAAAGCTTTTATGTAAGCACATTATTGTTTTACCTAAATGGAATCATTCAATATTTATTGCTTGATTGCCTGTGCAATACTAACAAATATAACTTTCTACATAATAAATGTAATCATTTATTGTATGCTGTTCCAAAATAGGGTTCTTTTGCTAAACTACATATTATAAGCCTATTTCTATACCAGTTCTTATAGCTATGTTGTATTTTTGAGGTATAAATTAATCTTTAATCATTCCCTATTGATAATCATCCTCAGGGTTTTTCATTATTTTATTTATTAAAAGCAGTGTTTCCATTAAGAACCTCATATATATAATCATGATCCTGTCCTGGACATAGAATTGCAGTACTTATTTTTAGTTGTGAAAGTTACTGTGAAGTTGCCATCCCAAAACTTGCACCAATTATACCTACTACCTATGTATGGGAGTGGCTCCTCCTCTTACTTTTCCATATTTGTGAAAATATTTTAATAGAATTATATGTAAAAGTAAGCAACTTTTGATGTGCTTATTATTGAGCATTTATGTTTCTTTTTATTAACTCTATTCATGTTTGCTAGTTTTCATACTCAATTTTTCATGCTTTTCTTCTCTTTTCTTAGTACTGGGGTTTGAACTTAGAGCCTTGTGCTTGCCAGGTAGGTGTTCTACCTCTGAGCTACACCCTAGCCCTTTTTTGCACTGGTTGTTTTTGAGATGTCTTACTTCTTGGTCAGGCATGTGTTTGGCCCATGATCTACCTATTTTATACTTCCCCTAATAGATAGGATAACAGATTCATGCCACTACAACCAGTTCTTAGTTGAGAAGTGATTTCTCCAACTTTTCTGCCTGGACTGGCCTTGACAGTGACTACCAATCTCAGGCTCCCAAGTAGCTTGATCTCTCATCTTCTTATTATTAAAATTAAATTTCTTGAGATCTAGCCCAGGGTCTCATTCATGAAAAGCACTCTACCACTGAGCCACATCCCAAAGCTGCTTTCTTATCTCTTTACTGTTGTTGTTGTTGTTGTTGTTGGTCGTGGGGGGCTGAACTCTGGGCCTGGGTGCTGTCCCTCAGCTCTTCAGCTCAAGGCTAGTGCTCTACCACTTGAGCCACAGTGACACTTCTGGCTTTTTCTGCTTATGTGGTGCTGAGGAATCAAACCCAGGGCCTCATGCATGCAAGACAAGCACTGTACCACTGAGCCACCTTCCCAGACCCTCCTACCAGGTTTTAAGACCTGTTTATCTATTGAAGAATTAGCTCATTGACCATCTTGTTAATCTATTTGTTTTCAGTTTTCCATTTAACTTTTTTTTTCTGGTCCTGGGGCTTGAACTCAGATTTGGTGCTGTCCCTGAGCCTCTTTGGGCTCAAGACTAGTTCTTTACCACTTGAGCCACAGCACAACTTGTGGCTTTTTCTGATTAGTTTATTGGAGATAAGAGTCTCACGGACCTTTCTGCCTGGGCTAGCTTTGAACTGTGATCCTCAGATTTCAGCCTCCTGAGTAGCTAGTATTATAGGCATGGGCCACCAGCACCTGGCTCCATTTAACATTTTGACTTTGTGACCTTTTTTGCCTTATAAAAGTCTGTAGTTTTCCTGTAGTCAAATTTACTTGTCTTTCCTCTATTACTTCTAGATTTAAGTATTCTCATAAAGACTTGTCTTACTCTAATACTTAATAAGAAATCACCTTGGCTTTTAGAAAAAGATGACAATTTTAAGTTTAGAACAGAATTGAGCAGAAGGTATTTCCACCACATTCACAGCCTCCTTCACCATTAGGATCCTCTACCAGAATGAACCTATAGTTTTAAGTTGTAATCAAAGTCTGTAGTTTACATTGGGACTCACCCTTGGTATTATACATCTGTGGGTTTAGATAAATGTGTAATGACACCAATCTACCACTATAGTATTATATAGAGTAGCTTCATTGCTGTAAGCATCCTTACATAATTTAAAAGTGCACGATTAAGTTAAATAAGTTAAATAAGTTTACTTTGCATTTAGTTGTTTTTTTCTATGATGTCAGTATTTTGACTCCAGATTTCTGAGTATAATATGGACAGTAACCATGTGATATTCTATTAGTATCATTTTTTATATCCTTGACTACTGGGATTCTTAGCATAGGAAAAAGGATATATGAATGTTAAATATAAGATATCATCATAATCCAACAGACTTGAGTTGAATTGGCAATATACCAACATAAACTCATGTAATTCTTTATATCAGCAAACTAAAGGAGAAAAATCATAACATGATCTGTTGATGTAGTAAAGCGCTTGACAGAATTCAATACTCATTAAAAAACACTAAATGAAATGTAAAAGTGGGCAAATGATATGAACAGTCATTTTGGCAAATACAGATGTAAATAAGCACATGAAAAAAAATAAAAATAGTGACAGTTTCTAGTGATGGTAAATAGCTCCTCTGGAAAACAGTTTAGTAACTTCCTATAAAACAGAACCTGAAACTCCCGTATGGCTCAGAAATTACCCTCCTATTCATTATCCTACTGAAAGGAAAACCTGCTTACATCCTACTAAAACCTGTATATAAATGTTCATAGCAGTAGTTTTTTTTTGTTGGGGGGGTTCGGTCATGGGGCCTGAACTATGGGCCTGGGCGCTGTCCCTCAGCTCTTCAGATCAAGGCTAGTGCTCTACCACTTGAGCCACAGCACCACTTCCAGCTTTTTTTCTTTTTGCTTATGTGGTGCTGAGGAATCGAACCCAGGGCCTCAGGCATGCAAGGCAAGCACTCTACCACTGAGCCACCTTCCCAGCCCCTGTTCATAGCAGTTTTATTTGTAATTGCCCTAATGTAAAAACAATCCAGATATCCTTAAATGGTAAAACACCCATGCCATAGATGTTCCTCAACTGTGAGAAGGGGAAGCAAATTGATACACACAAGAATCTGTATGGATGTCCAAGAATTATAATAAGTGTACAAAAAAGCAAACAAATCCCAAAAGGTTGCATACTGTATGCTTCTATTCTTATAACAATTTAAATGTCAAAATTACAGAAACGGAGAACAGATTAGTAGGAAAAGATTTATACAAGCAGTAGGAGATAAGTATGGTTATTATAAAAGAGACCCAAGGAGTCCTGTGACTGTGATGAAAATATTCAGTCAATGTCAGTATCCCAAATGAGACTTACTTTTAGTTTTTTCAACTCTTGGGTTTTTTCCTGTTTTATGTCAGGACCTGATGCTGTTTTATGATGAAGATCCAAAGCCAATTTTGCCAACAGTCCCTCCTTGTATTATCTCTTCAACTACAAGTTTGTCGGAAGGAGAGGCAGAAGTCTGTAACCTCTGGGATACAGGTAATTTGGCTAAGGGATGGGAAGTTTACATGAATAAGAAGCACTAAGAAGGAAATATACAAATCGTAGATTTTATTTTGTTCATGGTAGCAACAGTTAACTCTTAATGTGGTCAATGAAAGACCAGCATGATATTCAGTCCACACAGTGTCCTATAATCTTGTTTTGTCATTTGTTTCCATCTTTTTCCTCCTCTTTTTCATTTTGTTTCCAAAGTAACAATGAGATGTACAAGTCGTTATGTCGAAAAAAGAACTTTACAACTTTGGTGGGGGCGGGGGGAGGATAGGAAGGGACGGGAAGGGGAAACAAAGCAGGAGGCTACGATGCTTGATAAGAAATGTGCTCATTATCTTACCCACGTAATTGTAACCCCTCTGTACAGTATTTTCACAATAAAAATATATTTTAAAAAAGTAACTACAAACCTTAAATATTCTGTAATGTATTGTAAAAATAAAAAATTAATTTTAGTTTCTGGTTTTTATTAAGTTTTGATAGTTTAAACATATCCTATCTTTTCTAAGCAAATGTGCAAAAAGGCAGCTATTTAATACATATCCTACAAATTAATCTTCTCTTGAATAATTGGCGTTAGAGAAAGACAAAGTACAAAATTACACAAATCTGGCCTCCAGTAAGTCCTAGCTGGACTGTACCGCTTAGTCTAGGTCCTTTAAGATCTGACTGCCAGCAGACCAAGTCTGTGTTTTTTTTGTGAACTCTCCATTTGCAATACTTTGTTTCTCTCAGTCTTCTCAGCACATTAGGTGGAATGTCTCTTGCTAAGGTAGGAATAAGCTGTTTATCCTCTTTGCTTTGATGTGCATCCAGGTATTCTTTCCTTCATCACAAGTCTGTCTCATGGTGAGTTCAGTCTTCTCCCTCTTACTGGAGCACACATCTCAAATTTTCCCCTTATATAGCTCCTCAGTATCCAAAATATAAAAGTTGTGGTACATTAGTATAGATTTATTTTATTTTACAAACTCACATTCATGTGTATCATTTCTTATAAAGACAGTTTATGAGAACACTGAAGATATTTTAAGAAGCACAAAAACAAGATTTGGGGGTCATAGTGATATTTGTTTACTATGGTATTCACATAAATAGTTATAAATGGCTACAATTTTTAGACAGCTTGTTTGGTATTCTTAAAATAAAGTCAACAGATCCCAAATCCAGAAGCTTGGAAGAACAGCAAGGAAAACTCTTTTTATATTCTAACTTGCCTAACATTTTTCACTCCTAACATTTTTTTTAAAATAGACTTTGTATGAGAGCAATTTTAGATTCACACTGAAATTGAGTAGAATGTATAGAGTTTGCATATTCCCCATGTACAGCCTTCTTCACTATCAATTTTCCATACCCAAAGGGCGCATTTGTTACAGTTGATAAACCCATGTAGACATGGTCATCATTCTAAGTCCTTATATAGTTTGTGTTATGGTTACTCTTGATATTGTATATTCTGTGGTTTTCACAAATGATGTTTTTATGCGCAACTGTACTGAGCAGTTTCACTGCTTTAATAATCCTCTGTGTATCATCTATTCATCCCACCTATCCCCAAGCCTCTGGCAACCACTGATCTTTTTACTGTCTCCACAGTTTTTCCTCTTCCAGAATGCCACAGAGTTGGAATCATAATCTGTAATCTTTTCAGATTGGCTTCTTCCAGTTGGTGGGATGCATTGAAGGTTCTTCTATCTCTTTTCATGGCTTGATCCTCATTTCTTTTGAGTGCTGAATAGGATGGGCCCCAGTTCATCTAACACCTAGTATAGGACATCTGAGTACTTTAAGTTTTGGCAGTTATGGGTAAAGCTGCTTATAAATATCAGGGGTAGGTTTTGTGTGAGCATATTTTCCCTTTTAACATTTTAAAACAAGTAAATGTGAGCATTGGAGGTAACCCTATAGAGGAAAAGAAAGTTAAGCAACACATTGCAATGACCCCACTATACTGGGCTTAGACCCATCTTAATTAGTGGCCTTGTTCTTGTTTTTCTTTCTTTTCTTCAGTCTTTCCTTGACTTTATTTAAAGATCTTAGCATTTCATTCCCAGTTTCAAAACATTCAACAGAGCCAGGCACTGGTGGCTGAAGCCTATACTCCTGGCTAATCAAAAGGCTGAGATTTTTTTAAAAATCTGATTCAAAGCCAACCTGGGCAGAAAATCCAGTGCACTCCCATCTCCAAAGCAACCAGCAAAAATCAGCATGGAGGTATGACTTAAGTTGTAGAGAGCTAGCCAGCCAAGGGAGCAATCCAAGCGTGAGGTCTTTAATTCACATTCTAACAGGAAAAAAAAAGTAATAGTTCTTCACTGTTAATCAAGAGAACTCTGATTTCCTTGATATCATCATGTAAAACTCTCTTAGTTTGGTCTTAAGCCAATTTTTCAGTCTGTGTCACTCAACACTGCAATTATTTACAATGTTCTGTGACATTTATTACATTTCTTGTTTCTGCTCTTTAGAATGCCTTTGTTCTGGTCACTTTGGCTATATAACACATTGCCCTAAAACTTTGCAAGGTAAAGTAACCGTTTATTATGTTCATGAACTCTCAGAGTGAGGAATTAGGACAAGGCACAGTGGGGATGGTTTATCTCTGCTCCAAGATGTCTATCTGGGCCTCAGCTGGGGAATTTAAAGGCTGGGCAGGAATCCTCTTGAGCTTACTTCCTTAAGTCTCTGGCAGTTGCTGCTGGCTGTTCCCAGAGGCCTCAGTTCCTCTCTACATGAGTCTATTTGTGTGGTCTTTCCACTCTGACTTATTTGAGCTTCCTCACAGCTTGGTGGCTGGGTTCCCTGGGTGAGCATTCTATGGAAGCAAAGACCCATTAGAAACTGAATAATCTCAGAAGTCATACCGTGCTGCTCAAGGCAATCACAAGTTTCAAGGGAGAGGGCATGTAGGCACACCTCTTCATGGAGGAGTGTCAGTGTCAATTGAAAGAAAATCATGTTGGGTGGGGAATATGTTATTACAGTCATCTTTGGAAAATGTAATCTGCTACAGCCTTCCACCAAATTATAAATTGCCTGACAAAATCCTATCCAAACAGCAAGGCCCAGAGAAAATGTCACCACTGCTGAAAAATCTCCAACTGGCTTATAACACAAGCCAGCTTCTTTTCACAATGTTCCACAGGGCTTTTTCCATACCTCTGTTATAGAATTATTAGGTCATAATAATTTTATAAATTATATTTACTTTACAGTTATATAAGCTAATAAGTGAATAAACTCCTATTTTAACAATTCAGTCTAGGTAAAGCTACCTGTCCCCACTCTCCTTTACTCTAAAACGCTTCTGTCTCCCCAAGGTTATTAGCAATTTGGTTGTTTTCTAGGCTTTCCTCTGCATTTCTATGCAAATGTAAATGTGTGTTTAGAAGTATATAGAATTGACTTTATTTTGTTTTAAAGAATTCTTTATTTTCCTGAAATATAGTTAACTATCAGTTGACTATGCTTCAGAATATGTCAGTATTTATAGATTTTCCTTCCTTTTTCTCCCTCCCTCCCTCCCTTCCTTCCTCTCTCCCTCCCTTCCTCCCTCTCTCCCTCGCTCCCTCCCTCCCTCCCTCCCTTCCTCCCTTCCTTCCTTCCTCCTTTCCTTCCTTCCTTCCTTCCTTCCTTCCTTCCTTCCTTCCTTCCTTCCTTCCTTCCTTCCTTCCTTCCTTCTTTCCTTCCTTCCTGGGGCTTGAACTCTGGGCTGGGCTCTGTCCCTCAGCAATTCAGCTTGAGGCACAACACCACTTCCAGTTTTCTGGTGTTTTATTGGAGATAAGAGTCTCACAGACTTTCCTGCCCAGGCTGGCTTTGAACTGTGATCCTCAGATCTCAGCCTCCTGAGTAGCTAGAATTACAGGACTAGCTACTGCTGCCCAACTAGATTGATCTTTTTTTTTCTTAAAAACTTCTGTGGTATTAGGTATTAGTTTATTCCTGTATTGATTGATATTTTGGTGTTGTGCATTTTTCATTATAAATAGTATTTTGGTGAATAGCCTTATACACATATATGAATATTTCTTTAGGGTAATTTTCTAGAACTGAAATATCTTTGGACCATAGTATATGCCTGTTTTCATTTTGGTTTATGCTGCCAAATAGTACAACAAAATATCAATGCCAGTACCTATTCACTTACACCCAAACACTGGATGTTTCCAAGATTTTTTTTTTTTTTTTTTTTTTTTACTGGTCCTAGGGCTTAGACTCTAGGCTTGGGCACTATCTGTGAGCTTTTTGGCTGAAGGCTACCACTTTGAGCCACAGCACCATTTTCAGCATTTCGGTAGTTAATTGGAAATAGAACTTTCATGGACTTTCCTGCTCAGGCTGGCTTCAAACTCCAATCCTTAGATATCTTAGATAGAGATCTCAGCCTTTTGAGTAGCTAGGACTACATGTATGAGCCATTGATGCCTGACTCAAGCCATTTTATTTTTATCACTCCTATAGAAGCTGCATCACAGAATTTGAATATTCCAACATATTATTTCAGTCTCCTGTAGATGCTTACTTATATAAATAACCTATTTTTCTTTTGTATTACCTGTTCATTTAAATCAATTTTGTAGTATTTTATACGTAAATGTCTACGTGTGTATGTTACTGATCTTTTCTCTGTAATTTGTGTTAAAATAAAATCTTTGAGGCTGTGAATTGTCTTCCAGCTTTTTTTTAATGTTGTCTTTATTGAAGTTTGATTCTTCTGTATCCTCATTTTTTCCTTCATGCATATGTACTTGATGACTTTCCCTGTAGGACATTCATAATACATATTCACCCATATTATATTTTAAGTAAGTTATTTAATCCATCTGGATTCCAAGTGTTTCACAATGATTACAGATAGAGGCAGAATGCTTACGGGCTAATCAGTTTTTCTATTTGAAATGATTTTTTAAACTGTACTAAATAGTATCTGTTTAACAACTGTTCTGTTCCATTGATCCTTTTTCTGTTCCTGCTGT